GATAATTTCATAATGAAATTCAATATTAATTTTTGCAATCTGGCCTTCATGCTTCTAAAACTTTTCATTCTTATGGGAGTTTAAATTCTTGTTTACAGAAGCACAGAAGGAAGCTTCCCTCACTAAAAACTGTCTTAGGGCACTTGTTTAAACAACTGGGTTTAGTTGTAGCAGCCTACCCAAGTGCTGGTATTTGTATACAGAACCAATACAAGATTTGAACTCTACATGCATTCAAAAGATTTCTATTGTTCAAATAAGCCAGACCCTGAAGACTACCTCCACAATCCACCTCCAGGAAATCACTGGAGGTTGAAGAGTACTGCTGTATTCAGAATCAGAGCATAGGAGGTTAAGTTCTCGTAGTGAAACACAACTTAAAACAAGCATAAAATCACCCCTTGCCTTTATAAACTTTTGGGGGTGTGAAGATTTGAAGATTCATCATAAGAAAATATATTAACCAAAAAAAAAAAAAAAAAAACAGAAAAAGAGAAGGGCAATTCTGGAAGCCAAAACCACGAATATATCTTACCACCTATTTGATCATTATAAAATATGATAGCCTGACGGAACCAAAGTCACACCAAATTGGTGAAACACAGATTCCTCCCCATCTCTGAGGAACAATACAGTTCAGGGATGTTGGGCTGGAAGCTGAAAGAAAAAAACACGAGAAGGAGGTAATATAGTTATTAACAACGGCTGATACAGCAAGGGACTGAACACAGTGCTGCAAGAGATGTTTTCCCTTCCCATGTACTTGTTCTCCCCTGACCTGTGGCCCCAGCTGCTGTCTGACATGAACATGGCATCAGAAACGGAGAGTAGATGAGAGTTGCATAGCAACTACGGGGACAGAAACCATTCAGCACACCACAAGATTAAAAAACAATGTCAATAATTTCAGCAGTCAGTTTCTTTTTTAAGTCCTGGGAATAAACAAGAACACAGCAGAAAGCTGACACTGCTCCCTGGGTGTCAGATAAACATACTCTCACACCACTTGCAGAGAAGGCTGTAAAATGTAACATTAATCATGGACTGCAAAGCCCAAAACAAGAGGTGAGAAGGGTACTTTACTCACCAACTTAAGAAAGATGACAACACTTTCTGAACATCCATGGAGTGGCAATGAAGCATTCAGATGTGCCATGTGCTTGCTGGCTCACCAGCAAAGCACAAAGATCCAAAACCTTGACCAGTCCAACTCAACCCACATGACTTCCATCACAGACCTCCTCTGAATAACAGTCATGAGCACAGCCCAGGCAGCAGTTTGTTTTCCCCTTAAGGACTTGGGTATAAGAGATGGGAACAGCTATGTACGAGGCAAAATTTGGGATGTACACAGTCACCTCATATTTCTAACTTCCAACTTTCTCTTCACCTGGTTTTGGGGGAGGGAGGACCTAAACCAAGTGTTACTTCATTTTATATGCCCTTGATTGCAACAACTGCCATCATTCTGCCCCCTATCCAAAAGAATTGGACTTCACTTTCCAGGAGATTGAGGATGTGAACGTCTATCATCATTTAAGAAGTTGACACTCCTCAGATGTAACATAGCAATTGCCAGGATGCAAATCAACTGTGCCACTGCAACAGGCACTAGGAGTAACTGTACCTGGAAACGAAGCAGGAACTGGCAGCTGAGGGGCAGCAACTTATTCTACACTACTACAGAAGTTCAGTTCACGTAGGTTTTCCAATGCTGAGCAGAGAAATCCTTTCATACCCTTTGAAAATAGCACCTAACATGCTGCTGTCTTTTGTGTGAGCACAGCTTCTTCCCATTTTTGCAAAGACCTTAGAGTCAGTTTGAGCTTGCAATCAGATATATGAGGTTTTATCCCACTATTTTTAGCATTTAATGGCAAAGCTAATAGTGCCATTAATCCACTTTGGGATATAATGTTCAATTTCCACTTCAAATTGCATCTCAGTGCAAATGGTGGCTCGATTCCTGCTGCCAGATACATTCAAAAATTTGTGATGCAACATATTTAATGCTTCTTATTCTCAGATTCAGCTGAAAGGCAGGGAGATCTGCAGCAGTTTTTTGAAACTGTGTGGCAACAAAGGATGAAGCATTCTGAAGTCTCTATTTAGGAGATTAATGCAGCATACAGCTGAGACTAGTCAGATGGGAAGACAGAACTGAGATGTAAATAGCAAAGCACCCCTATGAGCTGATAAACATGTGGGTGCCTAAAACACAGTTCCCCTCCACCAGGAGGCAACTCAGAGCCAAGCCCAGAGGGTGCTATTCCTCCAGAGTGAGCTCTCCTCCATGAATGGGAGCTCTGCCTTTGGTCCTATCCTCACCCTGGGAGCATACAACCTCCGCCTACCACTTCAAAGGACAGAGCTGGCAGGGAGGGACATGTGCTTAGCCTTTGCAAACACGGGCTCCTCTTCAGCTGGAAAGACAGCATTTACAAGGCATTGATAGTCATTACATCTTGAAATCACTACCTGGAGTGCACTCCATCAGCTCAAGAAAGCTGGCATGAGGCAGCTCACTGCATGGGAGAGACACAGATTGTCGTTTTAAGCTATCTACTTTAAAGTACATCACTATGAACTGAGGCAGAGACTGAGAGATGAATTAAGATCTTTAGAACATTAAACAGACAACTTGATGGGCAAGTCCCCAGCTATTTTTTCCTCATTAAAATTACAACGCTGGATTTTTTCCTTGCAAAGCTATCATCTGGAGTTTGAATTTGAGTTTTGTTGCCTCTTGGTATCAACTTGTGGGTCAATAATTTGTGATAATAATTTGTGCTCAAAATAAATATGGAAAATATTTGTGACTTTTGAGCTAAGAAACCTGTTATAGGAACCCCACACATTAGTACACATTGATTGTATGGCTTTAATTCTAAAGTACTTCTGCAAAAACATGAGTCACGAAGTATACAGACACGAGCAAGCACTTTCAAAACTAAAAACCAAAGAAAATTCACTACAGATACATAGTCTGAGTGAATAATGTGCAAGAAAAATCCACCTTATGCTTGCCTGTTGATACATGATAACTGAAAAAACATCCCTGGTCCTACACAGGCTTCAAATCAGCACAATTCCAGTAAGGATCAGTTGTGGCGGACTCCTGTGAGAAAGAGCAGCTGCTAGGGAGAAGGATTACCTTTAAAAGAGTAAATAAAGAAAAGGGCACATGGAAATTTGTTTCATTTCTCCAGCAGAGATTTCTAGCCGGACAGCTATTCTAGTACAGGTGCTCAAGGTTACATTCACTGGAAACAGACCCAGCAACCCAGTAACATGCTGGGTCAGACCAACTTATCCCACAGCTCTGTGCCCACATGAACTGCCCAGGAAGGTTACTAGAAGGATCTTTGTTAAAACAAGTCTGATATTGGAGCAGTCCCACAGACCCATCATTTACTCTTAGGAATAAAGGACTTTTCAGAGATATAAGGGTTAATGTCAAAGTTCAAGAGCAGTTAGTTCAGAAGGCTTCAGGCTGTTGCAGGTGCTACCAAGGAAACCAGACCAACAACATTAAGAGTCCATTCTCATGAGCTGGGTGACAGGATTTAAAACAATAATAAAATTAGAAAAGAAGCTTAACTCTGGCAATTGAACTTGAAGAACTCTGCCCCTGAGGCCAGTGCTGCCAGAGATGGTTTTGAAGTTGGATTCAGCTACAAATTAACTTCCATGTAACTGGTCTAATAACCATCTGAGGCTCTGTGATCAGAGCCATCTCCTGTGATGACCCTCCTCTGCCAGTACATCTCACACTTGTGCACACAGGGAGAATGGGAGGCAGAGGGGGATCAACTTGCCAGGGCTGGTTAAGGCTTTAGGCTGGCTGACATCCTTCAGCAGAGCTGGAGACTCCTGGCACAGCATGCACTTTGTTTCACTTGTGAGCAAGGAATTCAGGAACCAAACAAAACCCAAAGCATTTGTGGGTAGAAATGAAATCCCTGGGAGCTCATCTCTGATAGAACCAGTATTACCTAGCTAATGACAGCCTTCAGAGCATCACAGCAACGGGGTGTATTATTGCACCTGCACCCAATCTGTGCTACAGCTCACCTTCGGATTGTCTTTAGCCGCAGTGTCAAAGCCTGAGTGAGCCCAGGACAGCCTGAAAGGGAGGACTTCTCTGGACCCAGCTCAGTGCTCAGCCAGCTCATTCTAACCAGGCAAAGAGGAGCTCTGGCTCCGGGCAGGAGAGAAGCCGTAGGATAGAGGTTAGGACAGTGTGCGGGCACCCCGGACACACAGCACCCTCAGCTGCCTGCCCCGCTAGGTAGGACCCAGCTGCCCACAACAGCCATAAAGTTCTGCATGAAAATCCCGTTCTTCTGGCGAATTTTAAGGCAAACCCCATCCTCTTCGGTATCTGCAGAGGGCGCCAGACAATTTCGGATCCGCTGGCGGAGCCAGCGGTGGGGATGCCTCTACCTGGTGCTTGCAGCTGTCAGTCAGAAAGGTGCTTGCTCTCTAATGGCCAATGCTCTGCACGGAGGATTAAGTAGGAGTTGTTTTTTCCTTTCATGCACTATAAATCCCTTAGTTCTCTTTCCCTTTCTTGCCACTGAAATAGCAAGAGATACTTTGCTGAGCTGCAACACACTGACAGCAAACCTGCAATAGCCCCAGCAGATGATACCAGATCAGAAAATTCCCCTTGCTTTTAACCATCAGAAGAGCTAGAACCAGCAATGTGCTGCTGATGATTCTTCCCTTCAGAGAAAACTCTTTGATACCTGCAAGATTTGAAGCTTGCTTTCTTATAAAGGAGAAGAGTGGCCTGGGACTGACACAAACTCACTCTGAATGCAGATTTCTGTGTTTCTACTTGTAGAAGTGACTAAAGACAAGTCCTGCGTGACTCCATTCCACGTGCACAGCAACAACTTGGAAGGATTTCTTTTCTTTTTTCCCCTTCCTCACACGTCTTTTTTTCTTCCTTTTCTTCCACCTGTGCTCTGTCAGGTCCACAATCACCTGTGAATTCCACTCCTTTGCTGACAATGAATGCCACACACTTTACATTTTCATTTCAGCCTGTGCTGCTTAATGTCACTGAAGACTTCAATGACTCAGTACTGAACAGAAGCAGTGATGGATTTTGTGAGCAGGTCTTCATAAAAGCCGAGGTCTTCTTGACTTTAGGAATCATCAGCCTCCTGGAAAACATCCTTGTCATTCTTGCAGTGCTGAAGAATGGAAACCTACATTCTCCCATGTATTTCTTCCTTTGTAGCTTGGCTGTTGCAGATATGTTAGTGAGCATGTCAAATGCTTTGGAAACTATCATGATCGCAATCCTGAGCAATGGCTATTTGATCATTGATGACCACTTTATTCAGCATATGGACAATGTTTTTGACTCAATGATTTGTATTTCTTTGGTAGCCTCAATTTGCAACCTCTTGGTTATAGCAGTTGACAGGTACATAACTATTTTCTATGCTCTCCGTTATCACAGCATCATGACTGTGAAGAAAGCTTTAACCCTGATTGTGGTCATTTGGATTGCTTGTATCATCTGTGGCATCATTTTCATTGCCTATTCAGAAAGCAAAACTGTCATTGTCTGTCTCATCACCATGTTCTTTACCATGCTCTTTCTTATGGCCTCCCTTTATGTCCACATGTTCTTGTTTGCACGCCTGCACATTAAGCGGATTGCAGCCCTCCCTGTGGATGGGGTGCCTTACCAGCGTACCTGCATGAAGGGAGCCATCACCATCACTATATTACTTGGTGTCTTCATTGTTTGCTGGGCACCTTTCTTCCTTCACCTCATTCTCATAATTTCTTGCCCAATGAATCCATACTGTGTCTGCTACACTTCACATTTCAATACCTATCTCGTCTTGATAATGTGTAACTCAGTAATTGACCCACTCATTTATGCTTTCCGAAGCCTGGAGATGAGAAAGACTTTCAAAGAAATAGTGTGTTGCTGTTATGGCATGAGTGTGGGACAGTGCATGCTGTAAATACCCAGCTCTTTGTTGAGAACAGAGAGAGGATACACACAATAGGGTTATGAATATACATATGTATATACATAGATAGCTCCAGATTAAAAGCGCTGCTTGAAGGAAAAGCATAGGAAAAAGGAAAACAAACAAATAACTAAATACATTGATTCATACTTTTCAAAATGAAAGCCAAATTCAACTGAAGTGTTTGAAATTATTTAAATAGTTCTAACAGAATACAATCTGGAGTGGCTTACAAAATAGCTTAAGAAACTTGCTGGAAAAAATGAACCCTGAAAGGGAATAGTGCAGAGATCGAAATAACTTTCTCTCTGCCATTCATTTGTACCTGCAGCTTTATCTCTGGGCTACTATCAACAGGTCAGTGTTTTCTAAAAGATTCCACAGGTAGCCTCTATGGAAAGCTATTCACTTGCAAGACAAATCAAAAACCCACAGATTAACAGAATTGCTTTACACTTACTCCCATGCCGCTACCTTTTATTAAAAGAACTGATTGACATTAATCCTGCTTGCTACAAAGCAACCCAAGTAAAATTTTTGAAGGGTGAAAGTGAACATCCCTCGTATACTGAAGTATGTTTTCGGTAGAAATCAGTTAAGTGAAAAGGAAAAGCTCTTTTATCAGTGACAGTGTGACTGAAACAGCTGCCTGTTAGATGTGCCTCGTATGAAGAGGGCATTTGCATTATTGTGACACAGGAGTATCACATCCTCAATTTGTTATGTTTTTGAACTGGATGTACTGATCCATGTAGTATTTGGCATGTTAATAAAATGAAGTCACAGAAATCTTCTTTCGATAAATTATCACCAAAGAGACCCATCCCTAGGAAACTTTGAAGACTACACAGATCTGAACATAAGGAATAGCTAAAAACAAAATAGTTTTAATTTAGCTTTGTGTAAAAGCTGCAGGGAGGTATTCATTTCGTTAAGTCAGGTATGTGGAAGAAATAAGATGTATAGGGCAGATACATCTTCTGTGCATTCAGAAACACGTCACTGCTCAGTCTCTTTTTACTTCAAGAGCTTTACACTGAGCTCAGTAGATGGACACTCCTGCACTGGAAACAAGAAAGCAACATGCTCTTTGCAACCATTTTCAAACTATGTGTGCAAGTTGGTGGCATGTAAAGCATGCAACTTCAGCTGCAGTAATTTAGTCTTTGCCTCTGCTTTTTATAGGAATAAACCATGTATGTGGCCTTTAAATAGCATAATCTATTGTAACTGAGCGAAGGCTGATGTGATTTGTATATAACACAACATATATGCACTATTATAGACAGTGCCAGGCTAAGAAAACTCTAAGCCTTTCTGAAGTTACTTACCACCTTTCTGGTATCTCACTTTTAGGAGGTGCAGTCACCTGAAGCCTTCGGGGTTGTCTAATGCTTTCTAACACCTAAAGGTTCTCATTTGACTAAAAATTTGGTTTGGGTTTTTTCCCATTTGAGTGAAGTTGATAGCTTGTTGTTATTTGTGGGGGTCCCCTCTGTCAGTTTAGGAACTCCAGACCAGAGCCTCCCAATTACTCTGCCTCCAAGTCCTGCATTCACACACTAGCCCTGGTACAACCCAGGCTGAAGGTGTTTCACTGCTGCTGGCTCTGGCACCCAGCTCTGTCCATAAGGAAGACATCTCCCACAGTTTGCAGATACTGGCCCATATTTGACTTCTTCATTCTCAGCATCCCACAACCTATATAAGGAGCAACCCAACTTCCCAGTCCTATGGGGCATATAATATTCACACAGCCAAGAGCCCCTTTTTATGTGCTCTAGCCATACTGCCCATCAGCACAAGCCAGCCTCATGCTCCCTATCTTCCTTGCCCTCTGATCACACCCTAAATTCCCCACTAGAGTTCTCATTTCCTCCCAGACTTCCACCTTCCCAAGACTCCCAATGTTCCAACACTTACCTAATTTCATAACCCTTTATTTTAGAAAGGCTAAAGTAAAAAACCCACCAAGGTCCGTCTGGAGCATGTGGCAGAACAGGCAGAGATGAAAATTCTCCCATGTTTCAGGTAGAAATTGGAGAAAACACCAGCAAATGGCAAACCCAAGTGCTTTCAGCCTTATCTGCATATTTACAGCTTGGCAGTACCAAGATCTGTTCTGTTAGCTCAGCCTGTCTTACTTCTGCAGCACCTGATGTGGTGTGTTAAGATGAACTGAAACAAATCGGCATTGGAAACCACACAACTGGCCCACATTATTCATACAGACTGCACCTACTTCTTGTACAAAAGCTCTACCTGTTGTCAGTGTTCCATATCTTTATGTTCTGGAACATGGCTTACCATGATATTCTGCCTCAGGTTATTGTGTATTTAGCTTTAATTGCACCTGATGTTCTATTATTTATCACTTTAAAAGAGATTTTAGATTACACTGGTTCACATTGTGCTTTGCCTTTAAGAAAATCATACATCTGTTGAATAAAACAATCTGAAGACATCACTGAGAATCGTGTTTGCATCTATCAGAGCACTATGGTGTGTCAAACCACAGTCCTGGTGGTCTGGTTCACAAAACTAGAAATAGCATCTAACAGAGGGCAAAAACCTCCTAATTCTGCAGGACTGCACTGTAAGGAAATACCACTGCAGTCAGTTGCTGTGGGACAGATCTTAGCACTTCACTGGGAAGGGGGTACTGGAACTGGCATTCAGCAGTCCTCAGGGACAGGGCTGAGACTCAAGTCAGGAGTCAAAGAGACACACAAGGACTGAGACATCAGGCACACCACCCCCCCAAAAGTATAATTTCCCAGCAGCACACCCTATAGGCGTGTGTAGAGCAGAGCAAAGATATCACAGCAATATACACTACTACAGGGCATCAGTCCTTACCAGATGCTGGTACCCAAGAGCAACATTTCTATCTGCTGAGAATCAGCCCTGTTTATAGTTGCAGTGAAATGTGAACAATTTGAGTTGTCATTATTAAGCTAATATATAATCTGTTTCTAGGAAAAACATGTTTCTTCCTTGGTAAGAGTGCTGGGCTGAACAAGATATTTTCAGTTTCCCGTAGCATGAGAAATGGCAGACTGAGATAACATCCTTTTCATTTAAAGGTGTCATTTATATAGATTTATTGATTCAGTATTTCTGCAAGAAAACCAGGCAGTTCATGAGCACTGCAAGATTACCATTTGCTCAAAGACTTGTTAGAAAATACTCCTATGTTCAGACAAATATTTGAATTTGCAGGAGAATGCATTATCCTTCTAAGTCAACTCAACCCAGCAAATCTGTAAATTGCAGCCAGATTTGCTTCTTTCATGCAATATTCAGCACTACGGATGCAATTTTCCCATCAGTAAGTGTCTAAATATTTTATAATTGAAAGCATTTGACGTAATGGATAAACAGCAAAATCCAGGCACAGAATTCTGCAGTCAACCAAGGTCATCAGTAGGGCCATTAGTACGAATATCTTCATTACTTCTTCACAGCTATAAGATGCTTCCATTTGTTGAAGCCTGGACCAGGACAAGGGTTAGCTGCTTGGTTTGGTAGCTATACCTAAACCATTAACAGTGATTTTGAAGCTCACTCACAGATAAATACAACTTCACAAAACAAACTGGAAACCCATTTGCTGGGCAACCCATCCCAATTGATGTTGCACACCTCCAAGACAGTGTGATAGAAATCTGGTAGTCTGGACACTGGGATATCCAGTATGGGTACAGCAGATGCAACAATTCCAGAACAGCTTGTTCCTTCCTGTCTCCAACATTCAAAAGCAGAGGTAGGCTGCACTCAGACCAACTGATACAATTTGATCCCCTATGAATAAGGGGTGGAAATCTGGACAACATTCAGTGGGCTACGGGGTGCAGAGCAGGGACAGTTGGGCTCAGCTGCAGATATCACTGGGAATGTTGGTATGAGGTCGCAACAAGGCTCTGTGGTGTTCCCTGCTCGGAAGAGCTCTGGGTTCAGGTATGGACCTAGCTTTTTATCACAACTATAACACAATGTCTGTGTTCAGTAGGTTTCCAGCAGGAAGGAAGAAGAAAAAATAGTTTTCAAAGAACACTATGAAGACTAATAAAAAAATCTTTGCTCATATATATCTCTGAAGAACATTCAAATTATGCTGATCAGTTTTGAAGGTTAAAATTTAAAAGGTTAAAATGCAGCCTTGTTTTTAAGCAATTCAATCAATAACATACTAGACAAAGTCATTGAAGAAGGAAGATAAAGCAGGTTTTTATGGCCAGAGCTACACATGAAGCCCATTTGCACTGGGGAAGCTAACTATAGCGCGAGCAGCACAGCATCACAGCTGCACATTTCATTGTGTTCTTCCCTAGGCTGCCACATTACAGGGTCACAGCTCAAGTCAGGCTTTACACTGATGAATGAAAATAAGCTCCATCAGATTTGTTTCAAAGAGTAAAACATAGCTTTTGATGTTTTAAATTGGCCTGGAAAACATGCAATTTTTTTATTCTTGCTTAAAAATAATTATTTCATTTTTTTCAGAAATAACAGGCATAGGGAAGCTTGCTCCTAATCCACTTTTCATAACCATCCACCACCTTAACATCACCACAGTCATTATGTATTTCATAAGCAATTTCAATTGTAGCACAAGAACTATGCTCATTCATCACACTCATAACATATGCCTCTTAAAGTCAACCTAAAATCACTGAGTAAGGTATCAACGCAGGGCCTTACTGCTGGCACCAGTACTGACTGGAGCAAAAGGCATATTTCTATCACACTCACTGCTTCAGCACTATGCAGAGTAGCCCTAAACCTGCCTGATATGGGGAGGTTTCTGTATCATAGATGAATTAGAAAAGTCTCAGACAGCAGAAAAACTGGAATGCAGTAAATCTGATGGTTTTACAGTGCTGCACTGGTCAGTGGGGCAGAAGTTCAGAAGCACATACTTAATCAGGAAGACTTGAACCAGGACAATTATGTAATATTCACATCATTCTGACACTGGTGACGAAAGTAGATCTAATCATTATTCTTAC